AACACCTTTGATATTTGAAAATGGTTTTCTTCCCAGATATTAAAAAAGGAGAAACATCATGGAGGATTGTTTTCTTATCCATTCTGCTGTTCTCCTTCATTTTATTGATAGCTTATTCCATTCTCATCTAAAATTATGAGTTACATCTGCATTGCTTTGGTATATTTCTTAAAGGATTTTTTTGGTTCTCTTTTCTCTTTTCAATCAGTATTCCCTCTGCTACCCTTCCCTAGTTTTACTTAAACTACTTTGATGCAACCCTCATTACTACAGTCTCACTTTCCTCATTGCCCTTCCCTTCCGTTTCCAAACGGTTTCCTTAGTTTTGTGGTTTTATTTACATTAGAAAAGTTGGGTATGACATAACTCTGAAGAAAATTGAATTGGGATAGAAAGGAATATACTTTTTTTTTTGGTAGTACATGGCACATGCACAAAAATTGACCATGTATCAGGGCATAAAAACCTCACAATCCAATACAGAAAGGCAGAAATATTAAATGCATCCTCTTCAGATCATGATGCAATGAAAATTATATATAATAAAGGGCCATGGAAAGATAGACTAAAAAGTAATTGGAAACTAAATAATCTAATCCTAAAAATTGATTGGGTCAAACAACAAATCATAGAAACAATCAATAACTTCACTCAAGAGAATGATAATAATGAGTCAGCATACCAAAACTTATGGGATTCAGCAAAAGCAGTTCTTAGGGGAAGTTTTATATCTCTAAATGCTTACATGAATAAAATAGAAAAAGAGGAGATCAATGAATTGGGCATACAGCTAAAAAAAAAAAACTAGAAAAAGAACACATTTAAAATCCTCCATTAAACACCAAATTAGAAATATTGAAAACCAAAGGAGAAATTAATAAAATTGAAGAAAGCTATTGAACTAATAAATAAAACTAAGAGCTGGTTTTATGAAAAAAAAAAAGAAACGATAAAATAGATAAATCTTTAGCTAATTTAATTTAAAAAAAGAAAGATGAAAACCAAATTACCAGTATCAAAAATGAAAAGGGTGAAGCCACCACCAAGGAAGAGAAAATTAAAACAATAATTAGGAACTATTTTGCCCAACTCTATGCCAATAAATTTTACAGTCTTTGTGAAATGGATACATATTTACAAAAATATAAATTGCCCAGATTAACAGAAGAGGAAGCAAAATACTTAAATAACCCCATCTCAGAAAAAGAAATTGAACAAGTCATTGATGAACTCTCTAGGAAAAAATCTCCAGGGACAGATGGATTTACATGCAAATTCTATCAAACGCTTAAAGAACAATTAATTCCAATACTCTATAAACTATTTGGTAAAATAGGTAAAGAAGGAATCTTACCAAATTCTTTTTATGATACAATTATGGTGCTGATACCTAAACCAGGAAGAGTCAAAACAGAGAAAGAAAATTATAGACCAATTTCTCTAATGAATATAAGGTGCAAAATTTTTAAACAAAATATTAGCAAATAGAATACAGCAACTTATCACATGAATAATACACTATGACCAGGTAGGATTTATACCAAGAATTCAGGGCTGGTTCAATATAAGGAAAACTATCAGTGTAATCCATCATGTCAACACCAAAACTAACAGAAACCATATGATCATCTCAATAGATGCAGAAAAAGCTTTTGATAAAATACAACACCCATTCTTATTAAAAGTGCTAGAGAGCATAGGTATAAATGGAGTCTTCCTTAAAATAATAAATAGCATCTATCTAAAACCTTCAGCAAGCATAATATGTAATGGGGACAAGCTAGAAGCATTTCCAATAAGATCGGGTGTGAAACAAGGATGTCCATTATCACCACTGTTTTTCAACATCATACTGGAAACGTTAGCTTTAGCAATAAGAGAAGAGAAAGACATTGAAAGCATTAGAGTAGGCAAAGAAGAAACAAAGCTATCACTCTTTGCAGATGACATGATGTTACACTTAGAGAATCCCAGAGAATCAAGTAAAAAAACTACTTGGAATAATAAGCAACTTCAGCAAAGTTGCAGGCTATAAAATGAACCCACATAAATCATCGGCATTTCTATATATTACCAACAAAGCCCAACAACAAGAGAAAGAGAAATTCCATTTAAACTTACTGTAGACATTATAAAATATTTAGGAGTCTACCTCCCAAAACAAACCCAGGAACTCTATGAACACAATTAGAAAACACTTTTAGCACAAATAAAATCAGATCTAAATAGTTGGAAAAATATCAGTTGCTCATGGGTAGGCCGAGCTAATATAATAAAAATGACAATTCTACCTAAGGTCATTTACTTACTCAGTGCCATACCAATCAACCTACCAACAAATTATTTTATAGAGTTAGAAAAAATAATAAGAGGATTCATTTGAGAGAACAAAATGTCCAGAATATCAAGAGAACTAATGAAAAGAAATGCAGGGGAAGGTGGCCTAGCCATTCCAGATCTTAAATTGTATTATAAAGCAGCAATAATCAAAACTTCTTGGTACTGGCTAAGAAATAGAGTGGTGGATCAGTGGAATAGGGTAAGTATGCAAGACACAGTAGCCAATGACTACAGTAATCTATTATTTGATAAACCCAAAGACCCCAGCTTCTGGGATAAGAACCCACTCTTTGAAAAAACCTGCTGGGAAAACTGGAGAAGAATATGGCAGAAACTAGGCATAGACCAAAATCTCACACCATCTACCAAAATAAAGTCAAAATGGGTACATGATTTAGATATGAAGGCTGATACTGTAATCAAACTGAGAGGGCAAGGACTAGTTTACCTGTCAGATCTATGGAGAACAGAAGAATTCATGACCAAACAGGAGATAGAGAACATTACGAAAAGCAAAATAGTTAATTTTGATTACATTAAATTGAAAAGTTTTGCACAAACAAAGCCAATGCAACTAAGATTAGAAGGAAGGTAGAAAATTGGGAAAGAATTTTTACAACCAGTCTCTCTGATAAGGGCCTCATTTCTAAAATATATAGAGAAATAAGTCAAGTTTATAAGAATACAAGCCTTTCCCCAGTTGATAAGTGGTCAAAGGATATGAACAGACAGTTTTCAGATGAAAAAACTAAAGCCATCTATAGTCATATAAAAAAATGCTCTAAATCACTATTAATTAGAGAAATGCAAATCACAACTCTGAGGTACCATATCACACCTATCAGAATGGCCAACATGACAAAATGGGAGAATGATAAATATTGGAGAGTATGTGGAAAAATTGGAACACTAATGCATTGTTGGTGGAGTTGTGAAATGATCCAATCATTTTGGAGAGCAATTTGGAACTATGCCCAAAGGGCTATAAAAATGTTCATACCCTTTGACCCAGCAATAGCACTTCTACGGCTCTATCTGAGAGAGATCATACAAAGAGGAAAAGGACCCACATGTACTAACACATTTATAGCAGTTCTTTTTGTGGTGAAAAAGAATTGGTAATTGAGAGGATGCCTATCAATTGGGGAATGGCTGAACAAGTTGTGGTATATGAAGGTAATGGAATACTATTGTGCTATAAGAGATGATGAACATGTATGATATTCTCCAGGTTATACTCACTTCACTTTGCATCAATACATTTAAGTCTTTCCAGGTTTTTATGAAAGCATACTACTCATCAATTCTTATAGCACAATAGTATTACAATGTAATCATATACCACAATTTGTTTGTCCATCCACCAATTGATGGGCATTTTTCAATTTCAAATTTTTTGCCACCTCCAAAAGACTGCTATAAACTTTTTTGAAAATATGATACCTTTTCCATGTTTTTTTAAATATGATTTCCTTTTCCTTTTACTCTTTGGGATACAGACATACTAGTGGTATTGCTGGGTCACAGGGTATATACAGTTTCAAAGCCTTTTGGGAATAGTTTCAAGTTGCTTTCCAAAATGATTGGATCCATTCACAACTGCGCCAATAGTGCATTAGTGTCCCAATTTTCCCACATCCCCTCCAACATTTGTCATTCTCGTTTTCTCTCATATTAGCCGATCTGATATGTGTGAGGGGGTACTTGAGTTGTATTGATGTGTGTTTATCTAATAAATAGTGAATTATAGCATTTAAAAAAAAGAAATGATTAACAGGCTGACTTCAGAAAAAACCTGGAAAGACTTGTACGGTCTGATGCTGAGTGAAGTGAGCAGAACTAGGAGAATGTTTTACACAATAACAGACATGTTGTGTGATGACTAATATTGATAGATTTAACCCTTCTCAGCAAGACAAGGATATAAGACATCTCCAAAGGCCTCATGATAGAAAATGCTATCCACATCCAAAGAAAGAACTATGGAGTTTGAATGCAGATCGAAGCATACTATTTGCTATTTTTTTTCTTCTGTTGTATTTTATTTCCTCTTTCTGGTGGTTCTTTTTATTGGTTCTAATTCTTACTAACAACATCATTAATGTGAAAATATGTTTAATAGGAATATATATGTATAGCCTATATCAGATTGTGTACCGTCTTGGGGAGGGATGTGGGGAGGGAGGGAGAGAAAAATTTAGAACTCAAAAGCTTATGGAAGTGATTGTTGATAATTCAAAATAAGTTAATTAAAAATAGAAAGAAAAAAAGTGCTGGAATGTTCTGCAAATCTAGCCAAAAGGAGAAGAAAAACTACCCACATCAATCAGTCAATCAAACAAGCATTCATTAAGCATGCACTATATATAGGAACTGTGCTAGGTTTTGAGGATACATATAAAACAGTCCCAGTCTTGGAGTGAGATAAAGGAGAGAAATGAGGTTGCGATTATTTAACAGAGAGGTCCAATCCTACTTCAGTTTGTCTAAAGCTTTGGCTTCAAGAAAAGGAATGGGAGTCACTGTTTGTGCTCTGCGAAGTTTATCACATCCAATTAAGTTGTTCAGAAGAAGGAAGCATATACTCTTTCCATAAATCAGCTGTTTCTGCTGCAAACATCACATCCTGTGTGACCGTAAATACCAGATAGAGGAAGGGATAAAAAAGCCTCAAAGAGTGTTTCACTCTTCCCCATCTGGGCCCCAGAGCTGCTCAGAGGAGAGAAGTCATCATAAGATACTGACAGACACCAGCAGAAACTCAGCAAGAGCTGTCACTGGGGACAGGTAAGTACGACAGATCCTCTTTCCTTGACTTGAATCCCTTCTTGTGATTTTGGGGAATCATGGTATCATAGATTTCAAGATAGAACAGATTTTAGGGGCCATGGATGGGAAAACTGAGTCTCAGAGAGGCTAACTAACTTGTCCAAAGTCACACAGGTAGTTAGTAGGTGAGATGGAATCTGAATCAAAGACCTCTGATTAAATCTAACCTTCTGTCCACTGTACCACACTGCCTGTCCCATTCCAGCTTTGATTTTAGTACCATGAGAAAATGGTGAGATCCAGGCAAGGTGAGGTATGTCTGTGTTGTGTACTGGTATTCATATAACAATAGATCATAACAAAAGCTGACATTTATTGAGAGTCTTAGATTTTCAAACCATTTCTTTTCACCCTTGTAACAATTCCATGAGCTGGGTTTTATGAGTAATATGAACCCTCTTCTACAGATGAGAAAATTGAAATCTGGAAGACTCATGATCACCAAGGGCAGGAGAAGTTTCAAAACAGATGAAACAGATTGATAGACAAAAACAGATCAACATGCTCGTGAGAGTAGGAAAGCAAAGAGATCAACAATGGATAAGCCCAAACAAGTGTCCAGAAAGAGTTTTATGACAGCCATTGCTGGAATATCATTGTTTAGCAATATCACTGCCAGCATTCACTGAATAATAATGCATTCACTGAAGCCTCAAAATGCAACCTGTGAGTTTTCACACAGAGTAGTGGAGTATAGCTAGCCATGTGGCCCTAAGAGAAGCGAATAAAGATGTGTGACCCTGGGTGCCCCCTTATATGCGAATCACACACTTCAGACACCATTGAGTTAACATGCTTGAAAGAAACAGAGGGGTGAGCCCTTTAGACTTCCACCTCTTAGAATCATCCCTTCCTCTTCTTGTGAACAGAACAAGCCGATGGCTCATTGGATCACGGGTAAAGTATCCTAGCTGGGAGAGAGTGAACAGAGAATGTCAGGGTTAAGAGGAGACTTCAAATATAGAACATAAAACCAGAAGGGATGAAGTTGGGAGGCAGTGTGCTTCAATAGAAACAACTCTGGATTCAAAGAACGCTGGATAAAAAGATCTGAGTTCAAATTCCAGCTCAGCAATTTCTTTCCTGTGTGACCTCGCGCAAGTCATTTAACTTTCCAGGCCTCAGTTTCCTCATCTGTAAAATGAGAAAGTGGGACCGGATGACTGCTGAGCTCCCTTCCATCTCTCAATTCACAATCCTATAACCTTAGAGAATATATAAGTGCTTTAGGCTGTGTGTGATGATCTTTTATTTTACCTCCAAGCCTCCTCTGACAGACTTCCAAGCCGAGCATAATGAAATAGAAAGGCCATTGGCTCTAGATTCAGAGGCTCTGGGTTTGAATCTCACTTCTGATGCTGACCACCTGTGTGACCTTGGGCAAGTTACTTCCCCTCTTCCCCAGGCCTCAGTTTACCCATCTATAAACCTAGAGGATTGATTTAGATTGCCAGCAACGTTCGCTAAGCCTCAGTTTACCCATCTATAAAACAAGAGGATTAGGTTAAATGCAGCAGAAAGGTTTAGAAGGATGAAGACTGAAAAAAGACAGTAGGTTCTGGCAATTCAGAGATCATCACCACCTTCATCATCATTTATATAATGCCTACTATGTGCAAGGCACTGTGCTGAGTGCTTTACAAATATCCTCTCATTTGATCACAGGTAACTGGAGAGAACAGCTTCTTTTGAGTGAGGAACTCAGAAGCTGAATTTCAGAGTGTTAGAGTAGTGAGAGGATAAAAAGAGGAGACGGTGAGTGAAGAGAAGGTTCTCAAGGAGTTTGTCTTAGAAAGAGCGCATCTGTTTATCTGTCCGTCCGTCACTCATCCATTCGTCTATCTGTCTTTCTGCATACACACACATATATCTTGAGATCGTAGGAGGGTCTAGTGAAGTTTGTTTTTTGTTTGTTTTTTTTTTTTTAATGGAGGAGACTTAGCTATGTTTGAAGTTGGTAGGGAAAGAACAGGTAAGGGCAACTAGGTAGCATGGTGGATAGAGCTTGGAGGACCTGGAGGCAAGAAGACATGAATTGGCATCCTGCCTCAGATAGACTATCGTTGAGACTCTAACCAAGTCACAACCTCTGTCTGCCTCACTTTCTTATCTGTAAAATGGGAATAATAATGGGGTCTACCTTCCAGGCTTCTTGTGATTATCTCATATATAAGATGACATTAATACTGTAAAGTACTTGACAAATCTTCAGATGCTTGCCATGATTGGTATATAGGGTGATGTGTGTGGTTCAAGAGAGAAGAGGCAGAATTAAGGATGCAATCTACTAGGGAATCTGGGAAGGGGAAGAATCAAAGGTACACATAGAGGGTTGGTCCTTGACAAGGAGAAGGGCCAGGCTTTGCCAGAGAGAGTGAGGGATGATGTCTGGGAGACGAAGAGGAGAAGAAGGAGTTCCCATTGAGAGCCTCAAGTTTCTCCATGAAGTAGGGACAGAGTCTTCAGCTGAGGGGCTGGGGATTGTGTCTGGCTTAATCTCCTCCAGGCTCCCGAGGTCATAACCAGGAGGGGTAAGTGGCAATTTGTGAAGTCCAGATTTTGGCTTGACATGAGGAATACAATTGTACCTAATGTTTAGAAAGGAGCAGAAGTGGAACATACTGGGGAAACAGTGAATTCATCCTAACTCAGAAGCTTCAAGAGGAGGCTGGATGCTGGCTTGTGAGGAGTGTTACATAGAAGGAATGTCTTTGAAAATGGCTTGGACTAGATGGTATCTGGGGTTTCCTCCAGTTACACGTTTCGGGATCCTTTCTATAAATGCGTGAAAAGGAATTCTATTCAATAAACAGTCATCAAGTGCCTACTCTATGCAAGGCACTATGCGAGGCTCGACGGACCCCAAAGTGAAAATCAAACAGCTTCCATGATCCAGGAGCTCACTTCCTATCTGGGGGACACAGCAAAGGAGTAAGCAATGTGGTTAGGGCAAAGAATATCACAGCTGGATAAGAGGTTGTCTTTCAGTTATGTCTGACTTTTCATGCCCCTATTTGGGGTTTTCTTGGCAAAGACACTGGAGTGGTTTGCCGTTTTCTTCTCCAGCTCATGTTACAGATCAGGAAACTGAGGTAAACAAGGTGACGTGACTTGCCCAGCATCACGCAGGCAGTACGAATCTGAGGACAGATTTGAGTCCTCCTGACTCTAGGACCAGTGCTCTATCCACAGAAGCACAATATAGCTGCCCTAAGGATAGGAGGATAACAGAACTCAGGATAAGAGAACCTAGTTTCATAGCCCAACTCCGCCACTGGCTGCCTGTGCTACCATGTCTAAGTCTCTTCCCTTCTCTGGGCTTTATTTTCCTCTTATGTAAAATGAGATGGTTGGACTTAATTATGTCTAAGGTCCTTTTCAGATCCCAGTTTGATCCCATGATTTTATCAAGTCATTATAAGACTAGTGCTAAGAGGCAAAGTCTTCCAAGGAGGGGAAACAGCTTGAGTTTTGCATTAGAGGGAAAATTTCCACTGAGAAAATCAGCGGATATCTGAAATATTGAAGAAATTCAGAAAAACAGCTACGTACTTGTTAATTTAATCAATTATTGCATTCTCATGATTTATTATTATTAGGCACCTAGGTGGTACAATGGACCTAGAGTTAGGAAGATCTGGGTTCAACTCTGACCTCAGACACTAGCTGCTAAATCTTTGGCAAATCCCTTAACTTCTATTTGCCTCAGTTTCCTCATCTGTAATATGTAGATAATAATAGCACTTACCTCCTAGTGTCATTGTGAGGACCAAAAGAGAATATTTTCAAATGCTTTGCAAACCTTAAAGTTCCATATAAATGCTAGCTAATTATTGTTAATAATTAATACTAATCCTTAATTCTCTTTTTCTCCTGTCTTTGAGGCTGACATAGTGATATATATTTCTATGTTGTTTCAAGGTTTACAAATATATTTTTTTCACCTCAACCCTGTGTATAGGGCATACAGACTTATTATCCCCATTTTACTGATGAGGAAACTGAGGCTAAGAGAAATTAGGGGACTTATCTGTGGTCACACAGCTAGTCAACATCACAGGCTGGAGTTCAGCCCAAGAACTATAACAATGCCTAGCCTAGGGTTATACCACATGTACTCAGTGTTTGGATTGATTCAGTGAGTGGCTTGATTTTTAGATAAACACTTCTGCCAATCCAAATATTGGACGGATTTGGGACGAGTTGCCTCCAAACTCCATGGGAGTCTTTTGACTGTTGACTTCCACATCTATGTCTGGCATGAGGACTGGCTGAATTTTATCAAGCAAGCTGGGAGGAACTCCACAGTGCCAGGGTCCAAGATTCCTACCACTGTCTTCTCCCACTTTCTAAATGGCAAATTCTCCCAGATTCCACTGGGAGAATGCCACATGGGAAACCTGAGTATTTGAGGCTCATGTATAGTCTTGACCTACTTATTGTCTCTTCCAGCACCAGCTACAGCATCATGACATCTCAGCCTGTGCCCTCTGGCACATTCATGATTGTAACTCCCAGTGGAATCAGTGTCCCCCAGATGGAACAGCCTGGACCTTCCTCTGAGTCAAACAACAACCTGAAGAAAGGGCTTAAGGAGGAGTCCAAAGCTCTTGGGGTAAGAGCTCTTTCAAAGAGGAGTCTGAGAGAAGCTAACTACATCCCAAGCTTGTAGGTCTACCTTGGGTTTGGAGATCCCTTAGTTGGGTGCCAGCAATAATTGGAAGAATTTGGAGTGAGGGGAGAGAGAGCAGAGATTTTCCCCGGGGAATCTCTAGCCTGTTCTTTGCAGGCCTAGGGGGCTGAAAATTATGACAGCTTTGCAGGGGTTGGGTGAAACTGCAGAAAATGGCCCAAACTTCCTCATCCAGGCCACCAGCGGAGAAATTGAGGAAAAGTTACACAATCCTTCCTTCCCCACTAGCACACCCTCTGATTATGTAAGAATGCTTAGTTCTTACAGACCTTCCTGCTCCTATCATCAGGAAACCTCACTAGACCAGAAAACAGAGGGGAGGTGCATGCCACCTCTCTGGTTTTTCTCAGGCCAGGAATAGGAATGCACAATTGCTTTCCACATCCTCACTGGGATAGTAGCTGAACAACGGAGAGGTCAACCCACCCGTGACTCCCAGGAGCCAAGCTTTAGATGTATATGGCCCCCAGGGCTGAGCCCAAGAGCCCAGATGTGGTCAGACCAAGGCTGAGTACCACAGAAACAATCTTGCAGTCCTGGAAACTAAGGCTCCCTTAATACAGTGTCTAGGAATGAGGCAATGGAAGGAGAGGTGGGCTGGAAGCAGCTCTGATGGCCTGTGGGAGTCATTTGTATTTTCAGGGTGAATATTTACACCTGGGATATTAGCAAACGCTATAAGTGGAGACGGATTCTTTTTGTGTTGTTGATTATCTAAATTTAGGAAAGTGATGGAGAAAATGTTAATCAGATCAGTTAAACTTCAAAGTGTCTTCTGCATACTTTTTTTTTTTTTTACTGGAGTTGGTTGTTAAATATTTATTATCACACCTGTGAATATCAGACTTGTTCTCTGCCTTGGTCAGACCAAATCTAGAGTCTTGTGGTCAGTTCAGAGCGACATTTTGGTAGAAGGACATTGTTAAGCCAGACCCTAGAAACAGTTGAAGGACATGGTAATGTAGAAATCCCTTGAGAATAGAAAACTTAGTGAAACTGTAATGGGCAGGTATCTGAAAGAATGTGAAAGGAGGTTAGGCATATTGGGCTTGGGCTTAGAGAGCTTAACTAAGAAAATGGGAGAAGCAGCAAAGGGGCTGATTTCTCATAATTTGTTTGGGAGTCATTGGCCTTGCTCCAAGGCAGAATGGGGTGCTGGGGGAGGTCCTTGGACAAAGATTGGATGACCACTTGTCAAGTAAGTGTCACGAGGAATCTTCTGTTTCCATCTGGCATGGATTGAACCAGATGACCACTGAGGTCCTTTCCTACCCTGAGATCTGTGTGACTTGGCTATTTTTGTCCCATCCCCCTAGGAAAGGTATTTGGGTAAACTGGAGCTCATGGCTGCAGAAGGTAGCTGCTTTCAGGCAGCAGGTGCACTGGGGGTTTTGTAGAAGGTCAGTTGTATCTGGCGAATGAGCATGGGGGCTGTTACCAGAGCAGAATGGAACTGTGGCTTCTGGAGGGGTCACTGAGAAGCCACATGGTACCTCCGATGCCCTGTTTCAGTCTAACTCTGCCCAGGATAGGGCTTGTGAACTTTTTTTTTTTGTCATGAACCCCTTGGGTAGTCTAGTGAAGCCTGTGGACCCTTTCTCAGAATCCTGTTTTTGGATTCATAACATAAAATATATAGAATTACAAAAGAAACAAAATATATTGAAATATAATTTAAATAATATTAGAAAAAAACTCATGGATGGACCCCAGGTTAAAAGCTCCAGATCTGATCATTGTGGACACTTATTGGGGCTTGCAGGACCAGGTTGTCCCTCTCCCTTAAGAATAGGAATGAATCTGTCCTAAAAAAGTTCCCCTTTTCTTTTTCTGTTCAGACCATCCAGACCTTGACTGGCCTGATGATTTTGGGCATGGGCATCATATTGGCATGTGCACAAGACTCAACCTACTTCAAGCCTTCCTATTCCAAAATCACAAAGTCTGGCTATCCATTTATAGGTGGGGTGTCGGTAAGTAGAGGCTCCTCCGTGATTTCATCTGGGTGACTCACGCAGGAGGAGGACGAGGCTTGAAGGTGCCTTTCTCTCTATCCAACTGCTTTCCCAACAGGTAGAAGGCCTGTGTTCAGGAGGGGCTGGGAGATTTAGTCTCATTCTCTGCACTACTAACAGGCAGTGGGGGGTGGGTGGCATTCTTTATCCTGTGGCTTTGGGGGGATAGGACAGAGGCTGGGGGTGGGGGGGGACACCTGACAGAAGGCAACCAAGGAAGCTAATTTATAGAATATTTTTTACTCAATTGTATTTTATTTTCAAGTCTAAATTCTCTCCTTCCCTCCACTCTCTCCCCCACTCATTAAGAAGCTGGATTTTATTTTTAAAATTGCTTAAGTTGGGAACAGAGCCATGATGGTTCTAGAAAATCTGCCCATTTTTGATACCAAGTTTTTCTAAACCATCAGCTTCTTTCTGTATTCCAGTGTTCAAGTCTGTCCATTTATTTCCCTTTGTTGTTGAGTTGTTTCAGTCGTGTTCGACTCTCTGTGACTTCTTTTGGGATTTCCTTGGCAAAGATACTGGAGCAGTTTGCCATTTCCTCCTCCAGCTCATTTTACAGATGAGGAAACTGAGGCATGCAGTGTTAAGTGACTTGCTTAGGGTCACACAGCTAGTAAGTTTCTGAGCCCAAATTTGAACTCAGGAAAATGAGTTTTCTTGATTCTAAGCCCAGTGCTCTATCCACTGTACTACTCCGTACCCATTGTCTCTGTCAATAAATCCTTCATCCCTGCCCTTTATCTTACCTCTGGACTCCTATAACCTTGCTCTAATGGTCTGGGCGGTAACCAAGCACTAGAATATGAATAATTATTTCTCTTATTTTCTCCAGGCCACTCTACTATCACTCACTGTCCAGTAGCTCCCTATTGCCCCCTTAATGAAGAAGTCCCAGGGTTTCCTGCCAGGTTTCATTTCTTGTTCTCTCTAAACCCCATTCAGTTCAATGTATATTCATGACACACTTCCTGTATGTGGGTCCAGGGCTAGATGCTAAGTATGGGAGGATGACAACAAAGGACATTCTTAGTTTTCCTGGAGCTTTAGGGGTCCCTTAGGGGTGTGACACCTACACAAATCAGTGTGACCAAGTCACAGGAGCAGAGGGGACCAGAGCAGAGGGTCTAGGGGTAACCCCTTCCTTCCGAGGGAATCAGGGAGGACTTCAGGGAGCTGGGCCTTGAAGGTAGGAGGGGGAGGACATTCCAGCCATGGGAGAGAGGAAAGATCAGCCCAAAACAGGGCAACAACAGATAGTTGTCCTTGGCTAGAATAGGGAGTGAGCAGAGGAGAATGTCACAGGATCTGAGACTAAAGCTGGGCAGACCATAGCTGAGTCACTGAGGCTGACTCCCCTAATTTGACAGGTTAGGAAATTGAGGCTCAAAACACTTAAGATTTGCCCCAAATAAAACTGGTGGTAACTGAGAGTGTTAGGATTCAAACCCAGGTCTTTCACTTCTAAACTCAGCACTGTTTCTATTAAGCCATATTGCCTCAAAGGGAGGTGAACTGGACTGGAAAGTAGGTTGTCAACAGATTGTGGAGTCTCTTAAAAGTGCTAGGCCTTGGGGTATGCACAGAGCAAGGATTATTAGTCTAAGAGGCCTAGAAATTTATTTTCTAATTATCTTGATAATTGCATTTCACAAATTGGATTTCTTTGTAATCCTTCCATGCATCAGAAAACCATGATTCTGGGCTGGGCTCCATCAATTTCAGTAGACATTGCCCAAGGGGCTCATGTTGCAGAAAGGTCAAGAAGGTCTGACCCGGGAGTAATTGGGAGCCATTCAAAGTTGGTGAGCTAAAGAGTAACTCTGGTCAGCCCTGTGCCCTAAGAGGAAGTTTTGGCTGTTATGGGAAGGGGGTTTTGGTGAGGCCTGAGACCAGAGTCAGGACAGCTGTTAGGAGTCTGTGGTCTGAGTAAGGGTTAATATGAGGGTTAGAGTTCCCCACTTCATTCTGGCCTATTGCTTTCCTCGGGCTCCCTGGCCCTTGGTCAGGCACTTTCTACACCAGATGAGCTGGTCCCTACAGTGTTCAGAATTTTTCGTCCATTGTTTGCTACTCACCCTACCCCTCCCCATGGGTTCACTTTCTTAAATCACCTTCAAAGACCTTCCCTCCCCTTCCAGAAGGTGCCCATTTTCTAATCCCTGAACACAATCCAAGCCTTCTGGTCACTAAGATGGTGCATAGCTGTGGTTGGAGCTTTTTCCTTTCTCTCCTGTTGGAGTGCAAGTCTGACCCAGCCCAAGCAAAACCTCAGAGTTAAGTCCTTTGCCCGCCCCAGGCCCTAGGGGTCAGCCCTTAGCCAATGTAGAAACACCTGCTGGCTAAGTGGACTCTGTGGCCTGGGGCTGTGTCTCCCTATGGCCCTAGGATTGACCTTTGTGCATTCTCATTACAGTTTATCATTTCTGGATCATTGTCTATAGCATCAGAAAAGAAGAAAACGAAATCTTTGGTGAGTATCATAAATACCTGAGGACATGGCAAGATAGAGAGCTGGCCGCTTAGTCCCATTGGCGTCACTGTGCAAGATAAGCCAACCAGACATAGTGCAGTGTATGGAGCCCTGGAACCCAGCTCAGTTCCTGATTGAATGACCATGACCGTGGCCCTGCTCCTTCTCAGTACCAGCTTCTTCATCTATAAAATGAGAGGCTTGAACTCAATGATTCCTAAGATTGCCCTCAGCTTTAGAACTTAGCACATAGAGGGGCAGTCATGGTGACACAGGAATACACTGGAAGGACCTGGGCTAGAACCTGGGGGTGCTAGGATCCCAACTAGTCTTCTTTCCTCACGCTGCACTACCCTTCATGGAACACTTTGGACCCTCAATATTGTTGTCTTCTGGGACAAGGCCTAAGAGCCACCATGTAGCTAAAAACAAAAAAACCTACCCCCCATCCCTTAACTCCTTTAAAACAAGATCTTTTCATGGTAATCTATGAGTATAGAGAGCATAGTACTTGTAGTCAGAATAACCTGGATTATTCTCTCTCCCTTCTTTTGAGGAAAGGGCTGCTGAGAAAGGGGTGGGTAGGAACTAAGTAATGACTAGTGAGGGAGGTAAGAATTAAGGGGGTGCAAGTTAGTTGAAAGGAAGAATTGTCTTGATGAAAGAAAATTTCTTTTAATTTTTTTTGATTAATTTAGTTTTAGATTAATTTAGATTGTTGAAAACAATCACTTCCATAAGCTTTTGAGTTTTAAATTTTTCTCCCCCTCCCTCTCCACCTCCCTCCCCAAAATGGAATACAATCTGATATAGGCTTTACATATATAATCCTATTAAATATATTTTCACATTAGTCATGTTGTAAGGAAGAATTAGAACCAATAGGAGGAACCACGAGAAAGAGGAAACAAAACAAAACAGAAGAAAAAAATAGCAAATGGTATGCTTCAATCTGCATTCAGATTCTTTAGTTCATTCTCTGTATGTGGATAGCATTTTCCAGCATGAGACCTTTGCAGATGTCTTAGATCTTTGGATTGCTAAGAAGAGGTAAGTCTATCAAAGTTAGTATCACACAATGTGTCTGTCATTGTGTACAGCGTTCTCCTGGTTCTGCTCACTTCACTCAGCATCAGTCCATACAAGTCTTTTCAGGATTTTTTGAAGTCTGCTTACTCATCATTTCTTCTAGCACAATAGTATTCTCTTACATTCATATACCACAACTTATTCAGCCATTCCCCAATTAATGGGCATTCTATCAATTTCCAATTCTTTGTCACCACAAAAAGAGCTGGTATGAATGTTTTTGTACATGTGGGTCCTTTTCCTATTTTATGATCTCTTTGGGATACAGCCCTAGAGGTGGTATTGTTGGGTCAAAGGGTACGTACATTTTTATAGCCTTTTGGGCATAGTTCCAAATTGCTCTCCAAAATGGTTGGATCAGTTCACAACTCCACCAACAATACATTAGTGTTCCAACTTTCCTACATCTTCTCCAACATTTAATCAGTTTCCTGTTTTGTCATGTTGGCCAATCTGATAGGTGTGATGTGGTACCTCAGAGTTATTTTGATTTGCAATTCTCTAATTAATAGTGATTTAGAGTATTTCTTTTCATCTGACTAAGATAGCTTTAATTTCTTTCTCTGAAAACTGCCTGTTCACATCCTTTGACCATTTATCAATTGGGGAATGATTTGTATTCTTATAAATTTGACTTAGTTCTCTATATATTTTAGAAATGAGACCCTTATCAGAGACACTGGTTGTAAAAATTCTATCCCAGTTTTCTGCTTCCTTCCTAATCTTGGTTGAATTGGCTTTGTACGAAAACTTTTCAATTTAATGTAATCAAAATTATCCATTTTGCATTTCATAATGTTCTCTATCTCTTGGTTGGTCATAAATTCTTCTGTTCTCCATAAACCTAATAGATAGACTATTCTTTGCTCTCCCACTTTGCTTATGGTATCAGCCTTTATATTCAAATTGTGTATGCATTTTAAATTTATTTTAGTATAGCATGTAAGGTGTTGGTCTATGCCTAGTTTCTGCCATATTCTCTTCCAGTTTTCCCAGCAGTTTTTGTCAAATAGTGCGTTCTTATCCCAGAATCTGGGGTCTTTGGGTTTATCAAATAGTAGATTACTATAGTCATTACTACTGTGTCTTGCATACTTAACCTATCCCACTGATCCACCACTCTATTTTTTTTAGGCAATTGTGGTTAAGTCACTTGCCCAGGGTCACACAGCTAGTAAGTGTCAAATGTTTAGTCTGAGGCCAAATTTGAACTCAGGTCCTCCTGACTTCAGGGCCAGTGTTCTATCCACTGCACCACCTAGCTGACCCCACTGCTCTATTTCTTATCCAGTACCAAGCAGTTTTGATGATTGCTGCTTTATAATACAATTTAAAATCTGGAACAGCTAGGCCACCTTCCCTAGCCATTCTTTTCATGGGTTCCCTTTATATTCTGGACCTTTTGTTCTTCCAAATGAATCTTGTTATTATTTTTTCTAGCTCTATAAAATACTTTTTGGTAGTTTGATTAGTATGGCACTGAATAAGTAAATTAACTTAAGTAGAATTGTCATTTTTATTATATTAGCTTGGCCTACCCATGAGCAACTGATGGTTTTCCAATTATTTAGATCTGACTTTGTGTGAAAAGTGTTTTGTAATTGTCTTCATATAACTCCTGGGTTTGCTTCAGCAGGTAGATTCCTAAATATTTTATAATGTCTACGGTAACTTTAAATGGAATATCTCTTTCTATCTCTTGCTGTTGGGCTTTATTGGTAATATATAGAAAAGCCAATGATTTATATGAGTTGAAAGAAAATTTCTTAACAAAGCTGTTCAGAAGTGAAATGGACTGCCTTGGGAAGTAGGGAGTTTCCTGTCATTGGAGATACTAACAGTGCAGGATAAATAACTACTTCTCAGATATGTTGGAGAGAAAATTCCTACATAGGCAGGGCTCAGATTAGGGGATCTCTGAGGATCTGTGCTTCTGGGAGATTTCTGGGGCCTCATCTATGCAGCTGGTCCTGCTCTGAGAAGAGATAGGCCACCCAGAGCAGATAAGGGCCCACACAACTTCAACCAGATTAAAATGTAATTGGGAAATGTTTAACAAGATAACTAGAAACAATGATAGAAGGAAGGGCAGATTGGGGGAAGGGGTAAGCAGAAGATAACTAGAAATACAATACAACACAGATAGTGTTAATTTATGGTTTTCAAAGTCAGTCTGTTTCTATGTGAATTTGACACCACTGACCCAGAGGAGATGGGAGGCATGCTAGGGCCATTCTAGACTTCAGAAGAGGAGGAAGAGGAGGAGGAGGAGGAGGAGGAAGAGGAGAGAGAGGAGGGAGAGAGAGACAGAGAGAGACAGAGGCAGAGAGAGAGAGACAGAGTCAGAGACACAGAGAGAGAGAGACAGACAAAGAGACAGAGAGAGACAGAGACAGAGAGAATTAAAGGGAAGCTACTTCAAGAGGGCACTCTCTGTTTCTCTGTGTCTCTGTGTCTCTGTCTTTGTCTTTCTCTGTGTGTCTCTCTCTGTCTCTGTCTCTGCCTCTCTCTGTCTCTGTCTCTGTCTCTCTCTCTGTGTCTCTGACTCTGTTTCAGTCTCTCTCTCTGTCTCTGTCTCTCTTCTTCTGTCTCTCTCTCTGTCTCTCTGTCTCCCTCTGCTTCTCTCTCTCTGTCTCTGTTTTTCTCTCTTTCTCTCTGTCTCTGTCTCCTCTCTCTCTGTTTCTCTGTCTCTCTGCCTCTGTCTCTCTCTGTCTCTGTCTCTGTCTCTGTCTCTCTCTGTCTCTCTCTCTCTCTCTCTCTCTCTCTCTCTCTCTCTCTCTCTTTCTCTCTCTCAGAGGGAGTATTTGAAAGAATGTGGTACCTGGAGCCAGAGGCCCCGAGATTGCTTCTGTGTGCTGCCCATTGACAGCCACATTTGACATAGAGCAAGTCACTTTCCCTTCTCTCTCCTCTTCAAGGTGAAGGTGGGACGTGAGAGCTCTGAAGGTCTTTTGCAGTTCCAAGCTTAGGATCTCCCTTATGCCCTGCTCTCCTCCTGGGGGCCCACAAAGCTCCTGGCCCCCACGTGGGTATATCAGGTATATCGGGGCTCTCTCTTTCAGACCCACATCAGCCTGGCTGCAAACGTGATCAGTGGCATCGTGGCAACAGCCGGGCTCATCTTGTTTTCTGCTGTCCTACCGGAGCTGAAGAAAGAGTTCACTCAGTGCATTCACCAAGTCCTCGGTACACACCAGCAAGACCAAGAAACACAGAATGCCTTTTATACCCGCGGTTACCATCTTTACCGCCCTACTCCCAGTCCCTGGGCGTGCCACATGGCTGGCTCGGCTTTTACCGTAAGCATTTTTAGACCCAGTGTTACTTTCTCAGTGACTCCTTTTCCATTTCTGGAATTCTTGTTGGTGCCAGAAGATGCCACCAGTGCTGGGCAGACTCTTGGTCTGTCGGGTTTTGGGGAAAGTTCAAAGGTTCTTAAAGAGGGAGGAAAGAGAGTCCTGGAGTTGGGAAATCTAATACTAAAAAAGAGTCATACTGTGGAGAGATAGCACGGTAGAGGAGTTGGGCAGACCTCTGATGATCTGCATGCTAGGCGCTGTGTTAGGGCTGAGGAGCCAGATCCTGGGGGAATGTAGAAAGGTGGAGGAAGGGGGCGAAGGGGGAGAAGGAGAGAGGACAAGGGAGGACAGAGAAAAAGCAGGGGTGGGGAGAGCCGCTAAAGTCCTCAGCGTTCTCAGAAATTCTCAAAGACGATAAGTTGCTGTTCTGACCAGGCAAATCCCATATTTCTACACAACAAAACCACAGGTCAGTAAATCTTAAACACACACTACCTCAGTTTAACCACTGCTTTCCATTCTTCATTTCATTTAAATCTCCTAAAAACACATGAGCCAGATATCGTTGCTTCCATCTAATCGGTGGTATACTGAATAGAGGCCTGGGACTGTAGTCAGGAAGACTCGTCTTCCTGAGTTCAAATCTGGCTTCAGATACTTACTAGCTGTATGACCCTGGGGGAGTCACTTCACCATGTTTGCCTCAGTTTCTTCATATGTAAAAATGAACTAAAGAAGGAAATGACCAACCACTCCAGCATCTTTGCCAAGAAAGCCCCAGATGGGGTCATGAAGAGTCTGACATGACTTCAAAAAGACTGAACACCAACAAAAGCTGAGGAAACTAAAGCTCAGCAAATTAATCCACTTGCCCACAGGCCATGAGCTATCATAGATCAGAGGGAGGATTTGAACCTGGATCTGGCCCAGGCCAATCTAAGAGCTCTCAGTTATTTGGCACTGCTGCTAATCAGCTGAGTTGTATGGTAAAGGGGACGTAGAATGTTGTGCCTTTTGTTGTTCTACCTTTTCAATTGTGTCTGACTTTGGGACCCCATTTGGGGTTTTCTTGGCTAAGATAATGGAGTGGTTTGTCATTTCCTTCTCCGGGTCATTTTTACACATGAGGAAACTGAGGCAAGCAGGGTGAAGTGACTTGCCCAGGGTCACACAGCTAGTAAGTGTCTGAGGCCAAATCTGAACTGATGAAGATAAGTCTTCCTGATTATAGGCCCAGGACTCTATCCACTGCACCACCTAACCGCCCAATAAGTGACTAGATAAGGAAAAAATAAGACAAAACAAACAAGCAAAATGAAAAGATGAGGAAGAGGCAGAGAGTCCCCAGTTAGATTGTTTGTGATACTTGGATTCTACAGGACAAGGAACAAAATGGGACTGATGAAACCCTCTTCGTGTCAGCCCCTCCCCCAAGTCATATCGAGTTTGCAAAGGTCCGTCCACCACATCTGCAGGCTTGGCTCCTTCAGCCCTTGGAAGGACTCCCCCTTCTCCCAAGAGAGCGCTTCATTTCCTTTGGTGCCAATTCTCTGAAACTGTCCCTAGGGGCACTTCCAGGCCCCAAAGCCAATGCCCCATTACATACCCCTTCAGTTTACCAGTGAATTTCTAAGGTTGAGAGCCCCTTGATTCCTCAGACAGACCATACCATTTGAAAGCTGGGTTGGGAACATCCATACAAGCTATTTCTTCCTTGTAATAACCTTCAAAGTCACTGCCCAACTTGCATTCGATCTCATATGTTGGGTCCCTGGAAGTGGGCTGCTACCTCAGATTCCAGTAGTAACTCCATGGGTAGTTAATTCTACTAACGCACCTTATGGAGGCCCACTGGTGGGCTTCCTGCTAACTGCCAACTGGGAGATTCAACGAAATCCTATCAAAAGCATTTTTCTAAATAACACAGCAAGGACAGTAGTTCCACACTATTTCCTTCCTTAGTGTTGGGACACACTCTCCCAAAAAAACTTAGTGGGAAAAACCTTAGTATCCAATGTTACCCAGGCCCATACGTGTACAGATGTGTGAGCATCCTGGAAGAGCTTTCTCTCTTGGCCGTTTTTCTCAAATCTACCTAGACAGTGGCATGGAGAAGGATCCCCTCTGCTCTTCCCTACCCCTCCAGCCAGAGGCCCACATGCAGCCAGCCTCCAGCTTGCAAAGCCTTCAACACGGTGAATAGGCATCTCCGTGGCACCTGATGCTAGATGCCACAGCTAGTGATGGGGGTGGCAGGAGCGGAGTTTGAGAAAAATCTCTTCCTCCACTGGTCAGGAGCCTCACTACACAACTATTCCAAGCCTGGACAGCCTTAAGCTCCCCCAAGACTTACTGTTTAAATTTCCCTTAGATATGACTAATTGGTTTTCTCTGCCAGTAGAGATATTCCTTCCTTGCCTTAGCCAGAAAAGAGTTTACAGGTCAAAAAGAGGTCAGGATTCAGATGCATCTTGTGCATATAGTTTAATATTTCATTAACACCTGGGACTGCATTCTAGGCCTTCTGTGAATCCACCCACAGAGCTGGGGAAAGGAATCATAATCCTCCCCTATATGTTCTTTTGTTGGCTTACCAGTATAGACAACATGAAGAAACCATTTGGGCCCCAAAGTCAACTGATTCCATAGGAAATGGTCAGCGTATAGTGCCTGTCTCTAAGGGGACCTACAATTCCAAGTCTGTTCATTTGGGCAGGGAATACCATTATGCATAACTCAAAGCCTTGGCTGTATGTCAGGCTGATAGGAAATGAGCAGAGGACAAGGGGGCATGGCCAGTTCTCATGCTCTCTGCTTTGAGGACTAGTTACCGACCTCTGGTGCTTCTGTTTTGTTTCCTGGAAGTCCATGATCCATGGGTAGAAGAGGAAGCTGTTCTCTCTATTCGAATTCCCTGTGACTTCTGTTCCCAAGGCTGTTGCCCAATGGCACCCGCAAGTCATCTTGTCTCAGGACAGACTCAGGTCCCAAACCATCCTTTCTGTTTGTAGGGGACTCTCTCTGTGATGCTGATCTTCACTGGTTTGGAGTTAAGTGTCGCTGTGTTTGCTGCTTTCTTTGATTGGAGGAGACTGTCAGCGGAATCTAATGGGGTGAGTGCTTTACCCACCCCAGCCAGGCAGGGATTCCCTGGGAGAGGCCAATTGATTTCTGTTTCTGGGGCCAGATGGTAGGTGGTGGTGAGGGGGCATAGGATGGACCCCTGTTGACAAGGGAAACTGCAGCTGAAGTGGAAAAGTCCTTCCTGAAACAGTTCAGCGATTGGGTCAGGAGTCCTGGAGGGCTGGTGGCAGGGAGGATATGTCTGACTGCATTCCTTTTGGCTTTTTCCAGAGAGTCCTCTTCTTACCACATGGTCGCCATATCAATTCCAGCTTAAGGACAACTCTTTATGACCCTGCCTATAAAGAACTGGGGGCATCTACTTAGAAGATGATGTGGGTTTCCTTCTGAGGGTTTTGCAGGTCACCATCACGTAAGAGAGCCAATGCCCAAGAGAACTGTGATTCAAGGCCCTGAAAACTTCCAATTTGAATGGAGAGGCAAAACATGTTTTCCTTTAAAGTAAATTTTTTTTTTCCACATGGATTGTCAACTTCCCACGTTCATCCTTGGCCTCAGCCTCGTGGAGGGTTTCCAAGAAAGAATATCTCTGTTGAGCATTTTCCTAGGTTGCAAACTGCCCCCTCCACCCCGGACTCCCCTGCTGTTATCATGTGAGCTGTGGATAGTCAGATCGGGTGAATGCAGCTGCCACTTCTGGCGAAACGGAGCCATATTATTTCCTTCTTATGTTTGCCTTTTGCTGCCCACAGGCTCAGACTAGAGAGCTGGGGTTCCAGTCTCTTGCTAGGTCTGTGAGTCTCTCCATGTTCACTTTGCCTGTCTATATACAAAGGATATGAGGCTTTGGGTTAAATCAGGGGAATGCTGCTGTGATTTGCTTACTAATAAAATTTTCAACTATAAGACTTGTTTTCTGCGTTGTTTCTCAATTGTATTTTAAAGGAGTAGGAAGCCCCAGGGTCAGATATGATAAGAGAGGCTTGGAAACCAGATTTAGAAAAACCAGGGGCCGGGACATATCTATGAAAGAGAAAGAGGCACTTCCTTCCTGACTTCAAAATAAGGAAGAGTAGGGATCTAAGTTTAACATTTGCAGCCCTACCCAAGGGAAAAGTTCATAAAGGGGTCCTTCACTCTCTTCTCTATTGGCCCTCCCTCATTCCTCTTCCTGTCTATAATCTGAGTATACCCCTCTGTGCACATGGATGTTGGAAGAGGAGTCCCAACTGTTCTAGGAGTGACCGTTTCTCTGAAGGCTGATATTGATGACTTCCTTCTGGTCTTGGCCCTCTCATCTCACTCCTCTGCACTGGGAAGGGTTTGAACCTGGCAAAGTGATGTCAGGGTTGGATTAGACCTTGTTTCATCTGAAAAATTCTGCCTTGAGAGGTAACTCTGCTACTGTACCTAAGCTTGGTACCCTCATAGGTTTCAAAAGTTTCTCCTTGTTATTATCTTCCTGTTTCCAGGGGGTAATAAAACAGCCACCAGGAAAGGGACAGAAAGGAGAGGACGAAATCAGCAGGAAAATGGCAGGAGGGTGGGTAAAGTAGAGAAAGATAAATGGGGAAGAGAGAGAACTGAAGGAGATGATAGGAAGTGTCAGAGAGAGGTGACAAATCACCTCTGCTCAGCAAACACTGGCCAAGCCCCTTCTCCGTGATGCTGCTGTGCTCTGGGGGTGCTCAGGATGAAAAACACACAAGTGAAATAGTCCCCATCCTCATAGCAATTATATTCCACCAGGGGATACAGGACAAGGTGATTTAAATAGAGAGAGAGAGAGAGAGAGAGAGAGAGAGAGACAGAGAGACAGAGAGACAGAGAGACAGAGAGACAGAGAGACAGAGAGACAGAGAGAGACAGAGAGACAGAGAGAGAGAGAAAGGAGACAGAGAGAGACAGGCAGGCAGGCAGGCAGAGAGATGCATTGGGAAAGGAGGGAAGAGAGAACAGGGAGAGAGAGGAGAGAGGAAAAGAGAGGGAGAGAGAAAGAGGAGGAAAGAGAGCAAGGGAAATAGGGACATGGAGAGAAAAGGAAGGAGAGAGATAGAGACAGAGAAATAGGCAGGAACAAAGAGATAGAGACAGAGAGGTAGAGAGACAGAGGCAAAGAGAACTAATGAAAGGGAAGTTAGAAAAAGTTTCCCGAGGAAGCCCCATGGAAGCTAAGCCTTGACAAAAACTATGGATTCTAAGAGATAGGAGGGAGGACGAAGAGCATTCTGGGTACAGGAAATAGTCCATGCAAAGGCACAAAGGGGGGATGGAATGTTGATTTTAGGGAATACCTGGTCACTCAGTTTGGCTGCACCTCAGAGTACATTAAGGGGAATAGGAAAAATCAGCTTGAAAAAAGCCCATTCAGGGCCCAAGTCATAGATCACTGCCTCTGGGCCTAACACTAGCCTGCAATGGATAAGACCGTGGAGGCCTGATGGAGAACAAACCAAGAAGCAATCTCAGGCTGCCTCTTCTAGAAAAGAGGCTCCTGAGAGGGAATGCAAGCATAGTGTGAGCTATAATTGCTGCTTTCAAGATGCATACAGCCAGTCAACCAGCATGTATTTTTTTAAACTTATCATTAAAACTTTATTAAAACATTAAACTTATCAACCACAGAAAGATTGGAAACTCCTTGAGAGCAAGAAAATGCTCAAGTAAAAGGAAGTACAGAATTTAAAGCCACATAGGACTTACAAAATCATCTAGTCCTGGTTGTCATTGTATAATATTGAGAAAAGGATCATGAGTCACTGACAAACAATTTTTGATGATTCTGCTTGGTGCTACAATTCTGGTAACAATAGGTGATGTGTTTCATCTATTATTATTATTTTCAATTAATTAATTTTTAATTTTCAACAGTCACTTCCACAAGATTTAGAGTTCCAAATTTTTTCCCCATCTCTCCCCTCCCCCACCCCAAGATGGCCTGCATTCTGAATGCCCCTTTTCCTAATCTGCCCTCCCTTCTATTACCCCCCCTTCTATCCCCTTCCCCTTCTATTTTCCTGTAGGGTAGGATAGATTTCTATACCCTATTGCCTATATATCTTATTTCCCAGTTGCAGGTAAAAATAATTTTTTTTACATTTCTTTTTAAAACTTTGGGTTCCAGATTCTCTCCCTTCCTCCCTCCCCACCCACCTTCATTGAGAAGGCAAGCAACTTGACACAGGTTATATATGTGTAGTCATGCAAAACACTTCTATAATAGTCATGTTGTGAAAAACTAATTATATTTCCCTTCATCTTATCCCATTCCACATTTATTCTATTCTCTCATTTGACCCTGTGCCTCCTCAAAAGTGTTTGTTTCTGATTACCCTAACCCTAACCTACCCTGCCCTCTATCAACCCCCCTCTTTTATCCCCTTTCCCCCTATTTTCCTGTAGGGTGATACAGATTTCCATACCCAATTGAGTTTATATATTATTCCCTCCTTAAGCCAAATCCAATGAGAGTAAGATTCATTCATTCCCTCTTACCTTCCTCCACTTCCCCTCCACTGTAAAAGTGTGAATTGTTTCTGTCTGACTGTTTCCAATATTTTCTCCTTAACCTGTCAACCTTGAAAAAATGTCTACACCAGATGACTCCACATTACTGCAAAAGCTTTCCTCACCTTCTCAGGTTATGTCTTTACTCTACAGCAATTGTTCTCTCAAAGGTCAGCAAGGAATGAATGACTGAGAAAAGAGTTATTTTTAATGGAATTTATTTTTTTTTCCAATTATATGTAATGATAGTTTTCAGCATTCATTATTTTTTAAATAAAATTGGGAGTTCAAAATTTTTCTCTCTCCTTCCCCTTTCCCTTCCCTAATTCAGTAAGTAATCTGATACAGGTTATATATAAATATACTATATATACTATATAAAAATATATATATATGTGCAATTATGTTAAACCACATTAGTCATGGAGAAAACATGTATTATGGGCTTTCTATGTGCTAAGTGCTGAGGGTACAAATAAATAAGATGCTCCTATTTGTCAAGCAACATCTTTTCAAATGAGGAGACAATATCTAAAGTGGTATTCAACTTGGAAAGTTAATCAATCAAGCAACATTTTAAAGCCCCTTATTTGTGTCAGACGCTGTGCTTTGTTCTGGGCATGTAAAAAGAGGCAAGAAATAGTCCCTCCCTACAAGAAATCGACATCTAATGAGAGAGGCCATGTGCAAACAGATATAGACAGATTAACATAAGGATAAATGGGATAACAAGAATTTAAAACTGTGATCAAGTCAACTATCACTGTCTCTAGTAGGAAACCCCACTCCTGCTCTCTCCCAAGGCGCCCGGTTAACTCTACCCAAATGGAAAGCATTCTATCCTTGATCTGAGCAATTATCTAATAGTGACCACTGCCTTATGCTGAGGCTTTAAAGCACTAGCATCTTTCTACACAGGAAAAGGAACTGTCTGCACTGTTAAGAGCCCCATCTCTTTGCTGGGCTCAGCAAATCTTGTGAGGCAGAGAGAAAATGCCTATGAGATACCATAAATATGGGAGGTGACTGACCAGCCAGAGAACTGCTGACCAGACTGGTGCAGAGGACAGGTGAGCCCTCCAGCTGTTCCTGGTGCCTGAGGAAACTGTGGGACCTGGAGCTACCGCAGAGCCTGGGGGGGGGGGGGTAGGAGAGGGGTGGCCTGAGGGGGAAGGGAGCATTCAGTGTTTCTAGGGCCATAGTGAAGGAGTGTTAGGGGTGGGGGATCTGATCTGTTTTGTTGACTGCAGAAACTAGAGTGATCAGAGAAGCTGTGGAGATGTCAACTTCTCCTAGATTTCGGGGAAATATTCCGAACTATTCAAACTATACCAAAGGAGAATAGTCTGTCTGGGAAGGTGATTAGTTTTGTGCTCCTGGAGGCCATAGAATCATACACTGAAAGACACAAGAGCCCTTCAAACCACTCCCTCCTCTCCATTTTATATTTGAGGAAATTGAGGTAGAAAGAAATAACTTTCCCAAGGTCACACAGGTAGGAAAGGAGAGAGCTTGGATTGGAGCTGGATTCCTTTCCCTCCAAAGCCAGGACTTTCCCCACTAAACTGTGCTGTTAGTGAAAGTTCAAGGACAGAGTTCTTGTAGAAAGGATTCTTGCTCAGTTACATGTTAGATTAGGTTCCCTCCAATGCTTCAATTCAGGGATTCTGGGTGTTGGGTCAAGATTGGTCCTCTGGTAGTTTGTTCTCCCTCTGGCAGGATGGGCAGGCTGGGCAGGGTCTGACTCTTCAGCCAGGGAAGGTTTCTGCACAGCAGCATAAGCCATGAACACTGAGCTTTCAGTTAAACCACTTTAGTTAACTGGTGCCCTGAGAGTTATAGCTGCCTCTTCACCTGTATTTCCTAACCACCATGGAAACCAGGACCATGTCTCTGTCAGAAATCTCTGCCTGATTTAGAGTCAGAAAAGACATCTAATTTACTGCTTAATTTCACATTGCTAAGAGTGTTACTTGTCAGCACTCATCCATCCTTCCAGCAAACTTTGAATAACTTTGGGTCATAGTGCCCTTTTTCTCAAGTCCAGAACTTTTCTTCTTCCATACAAATGATTGGAAGCATGGAGAAGCTTTTATAAAAACAAAACTTTGTCCCAGGGGCAAAGTCAATATTTCCTAATTGCATTTCTAATCTTTTTCTTTGTAAATGTGACCTGCAAACTTTATTATGCTTGAGTCTCTCCTATATCATTAATCATAATAATTCACATTCAGTGAATCAGAAAGAAAATTCTATAGTTCAGATATGGAAGAGATCTTCAGAAATCCAACAGGTACAGCTTCTTGTCTTCAGGTAGCTAAGGTGGCATTATGGCCATTTTAAAGATGATTGAAGCTCAAGACCATCTACTTGAAGGCTCTTGGGTTCCATTCTTCCCT